TTTGCATAAATGAAAGCACTAAAATAGAAATTTGAGAGCAAAATTCGAATATATTAATTGATGAAACAGATATTTAGTTCTAAGTTCATTGTACTAATGATTACAATGTAGACTAAAAGAAAGCAACGAATAGAAAGGAAATAGGAATAGGAAATAAGATAGGAAAGAGAGGTGAAGATACAAGAAAAAGATACATTTTTTGAATACATCATTCCGAGTATTCTCCAGGCCTGAAAGTCATAAGCCAGAGATCATAACCCAAAAGTCATACCTTAAAATTAAAATCTACCAAGTTATACCAGACATAGGACCCTAATATACCGCCAATTATATAACGTATAATTGTCATACTATCGAATTACACGCTGTTGTTCATCTATCATAAACTCTATATGTATGCTGTAAGCTACTGTGAACATACAATATATTATCAAGTTTAGTTTTAACTTAATTTCTTTCATGTTTCTCTTACAGTTTGTGATTATTGATTAAAGTTAATGTTAAAGAACTTTAAATAATAATTACTGTAAAGTAATAGAAATAACTAATTTCAAGAGAGTTTCCACTATTTTCTATTCGTGTTTTTTTAACCTAATTTCTGCCTTTATTTACATAATAAAATTCTTATTAAATGGCACAAGTAATGAAAAAACTGCGAATAATCACTATTACTTCGATAAGAGTTTGATTAAATTATTCAAATTTTTAAGCTGATTATTGAAGACTTTATCATATTTAATTATAGAAGCTGACATTAATGATTAATTTTAATCCAGAGCATTTAATAATTAAGGCCCGTAGTAACAGTACATTATTTTATTTATCATAATTTAAATAATGTAACCAATATTTAATTGATTAAATTCTGTTTCTCTTTCAAAACTTAATAAAAACATACTTTATGCCTTCTTTATACCACGTTTATGTTTCGTTTCTACCTCATTTAAGCCCTGTTTCTGCTTTGTTTACACATTGAAATAGTGGTTAAATATTCTAAGCGGCTCTAACTTCTAAAAAATGTCCGTAATTATATATTAATATATGAATTGAATCATTATTAAATACACTTTCCTAAAAATTTTTTGTTTATATTAAGCTTAAAACTGTAAAAACTTAATTAAATGTGATCGGATATAAATATGTTTTCCATTGAAAAATTATGTAGATAAATTTATTTTCAATTTAGCTACATAATTATTTTTAAAAATTCATATTATTTTTAATATTTTGATCTAATTTTATAATAATTTTAATTATAGAAAAACATCTCAATTATTTTAAACTGAACACTTTCTCCTTAAAAGTTTTTGATTAAAACTTTGTTTTAATGCTACTTTAATTAAGATTTTAATAGTGTTTTTGAAGTATGATATAAAACAATTTTTAAAAAATACACGGCTTTTTAGAATTTCGTCTTTAAAACATCCAAAACTCTAAAAAACTCGAGTAATTTTTAAAAATATTTAAAGGTTAAAACACTGTCAAAAATTTTTTAAAAACTTAGTGTTATAATAAAAAAATCACTCGTTTTTTCACTTATTATAAGTAATTTTCCAACTACAAAAAATAAAATCTACTTATAAACCTTTTTAGAACCAAAATTGATATTTTTTTTCATAATTATTTTCATTTCGAATGAGAGAATTTTGCGTAAAATCGTAATTTGTCACGGCATAAAAACTTTAATTATTAATAATTCACGGTAAATTATGAGTTAATTAATTTCTAAAAAATAAAAGAAATCTTCAATCTTGTATAAGCTGATATATCTTCTAAGTCTATTCTCATATCATTTTTTTTAATCGATTAAAACTAGCAATAAATTCTGGCCTAATGAAAAATAATGTAAATTAATTGATAAACAAAAGATAAAAATCTCTAATTTATATATTAATTTACTAATGTACAGTAAAGAAAATTTTTATCGCGCGTTTGAAATGGTGTAAGTTTTGTTTTCTAATTTTGACTTTTCTGATCGAATGAGAAAAATGTGGATTAACTACTGATAAAATCGTGGATAATCTATTGATAAAGCTATAGATAATCTGATGATAAAAGTGATAATTCAGAGGTGTATTCAGGGATGGACAGAGGAATCACGTGCATCCTTTTAACCTAAAGTGTGTATGTATACATATATATATATTATTTTACTTACAAAGCTTTTTCCCGTGCTTTTCTAATGTATGCTAATTTGGTAATAAAAGTATAGATAATTTGGCGGTAAATATGTGGATAATCTTATGGTAGCTAAGTGAACATTCTAGTAATAAAGATGTAGATGTAGATGATGTAGAGATGTGAATGATCTGGTAGTAGAGATGAAGAATGTTTGATGGTGAAGAAATGGATAATTTAATGGTAGCGACATGGATAATCTGTTGGTAGAGAAGTGGATATCTGCTTATTAGTTAAAAGTTGCTTGATAATTCTAGAAATACATACTTTAAAATAGATAATGTAGTCGCAATTAAAGTACGAATCATATTTGTTGTGGATCTCGTGAATGATCAAAGCATGGGCATTGACTTGAAGGAAGAAACGAGAGAAAAATAATAGTCAGAATAATGAACATGAAATTATATTTGAAAAAAGAACATAAAATTTTTTTAAATGATTTCAAATATCTTCGAACTGAAAATAAGAAATGCGATGTTAAACGGAAAAGGAACTCATCATAAATCGGATGCGGAGTGATTCGGAGCGACGCGACAGATGCACCGGCACGCGATGCCGGTGCATCTGTCGCGTCGCTCCGAATCACTCCGCATCACTCCGCGTCGCTCCGGCCACATACAAATGTATTAATAACTTTCTACATGTTTATTGGGCATACTTAAAATTTAATAAGATCTACCGTAAGAATATGATACATTTTATAATATCAAATTCGTTTACGACTAATAAATAACTTTTAATGAATGTTTAGTTCTGCCAAGGCTCCCATATTTGTAAAATTTATCTTAAAATCTTTAAATAATGTCAAAAATTAGTTCAAATTTTGATATCAATTTATTTTTCTACGAGTTTTGAACTAAGTTTTTCCAAAAACTCACTTCAACACTTTGTCTAAAAATTAAATTTCCGTTTTTGATAATAAAAACTNAGTTTGTAACTAATATAATTTGTAAATTAAAAAAAGACTTAAAAAATTAATATTAAAATCAGAAAAATTAACAAAAACATAAAAAAATGTTTAAATTAATGTTTTTAACTTGGTTTTCGTTCAGCACTATTTTTTATAATAAAAAAATGTATAACAACAAAGTTGGCAATTGAAATACTGTAATGTGTTAAGTAAAGCGCGCAATAAAGTTTATTAATAAGTTAAAAATTATGATGTATACTTAAAATATCTTAAAAATTAAAATTATCGTTTATTAATTACCATTAATTAAAGTTTGTAATAACGAATTTTTATTTATTTCTTCACAAAATATTCAAAGTGTAATCTTTAGTATTTCCATTCAATGAAATGTGTTTAAGTTCAACGTCGAAACTGAACCCATGCCTTTCAATTGAAAATATATCTTATATTGAAAGATATATTTTCAATTTTTCAATATATTTTTTTGAAAACTCAAACACTTGTTTCTGTTCTGTTTTTTTTTTTTCATTCGGGATTATATATTATGATCCATATTTGTTTACAGGAAAAAAGTACTGTACTACTCAATTTTTATGCAAATTGTTCAGAATACAGGCTTTACAGAACTATGAAACTTATATAGGCTAGGTCTACATATTTGTATGATTTAAATGATTTTAGAAGTGCTTTCGGTTGTCTGTCTGCCATGTTATATCTCAAAACTAATCGTTTTGGTGAATAGAAATAATTTTGTTTCATAGTTAACGAAAAATGTACTCTAAAATTTATTTTTATATTATTTTTAAAAAAATAATACATCAGAAAATTTTATCAATCATTTTTAATTGATATCAAATTTCAATTGAAAATAAAAACAAAATAATACACTGATGTAGAAATTAGATTTAATTGTAAATTTATAACTGTACTCACTTCAATCATATTTATTATAATTTAAGATGATCATAACTATAATTAAAAATAATACAGAGTACTCCAAAACTTACTTGAACATTGTAAAGACTAAATCGCAATTAATCAACTAAAAATAGAATTAATTTGAATGTAATTTTTTCTCGTTTTTCCTCCAATTTTTTTAAGAAAAATACGCTGTTCTATATTTAATTTATAATTCACATTCATGAACTTACCTATTCACGCAAATATAAAACGTAGTTAACTAACTATTGGACTAATTTGTGTTACAGAATAAAAAGAAAGAACAATTTTTATTTGAATAAGAAGCCAATTTACCTAGTATAAAAATAATAAGGAAACTAATAAAACTACAGAATCTTTATTCAAATTCTAAATATTTTAATATGTTTAATTACATTATTAATTCAGTTATTATAAATAACTGAATTAAAAATTAGAAGTAAAATTTTTAGAAAATTTAAGTCTATTTCCTCTTCAAATTGTGAAAATAAGCACTTAAAATCTTTATAGATGATATCACACGGATGATGTAACAAGAAAATATCCAATGACATATTAAAGTGTATACTTTCCTGTCTTATTATTTATTTATTTACCTCAAGACTTACTTTTCATAGCTTATTCCCCGAAAAAATATACAATGATAATTTACAATAAAGAATTGTAAAGAAATTCGTATAAAGTTCAGCAAAGTCGGACTCCCAATTCGTTTTACCACCATAACTTTAATAATATTAAAACTAAAATTTTCGTTTAACACAAAAACATTCTTTTATTAGATGTTTAAGAACTTCCTTCGTTAGAAGAGATTTAAAAATTTTTGTAAACAGTATCTTTGAATTTAGAAACCGTGTCAAAAATAACAGTTTGTAAAAAGTGCTCCAAATTTGGACCCAGTGCCGTAACTAGCTATTCCCTGTGCCCTGTGCAAGAATTTGCATTTTAGTCTCTTAATTAATTAGGTTTGGGAAAATAATAAAACAAAAGCATGCATTTTGGGCCCCTTTCAAGTGGGCTCTGTGCGGGTGCACCTGTTGCACCTGCCTAGTTACGGCACTATTCGGACCCTCAAATATATATGGAATTTTAAGGAGGAAATTAAAAGAGAAAGAGAAAAAGAGAACAAATTTTTGCATAAAATGATTTATTTAAACATGCTATGTATTGAGGAATGAAAATGTTTGCAAAAGTTGCAAGTATATTCATCTTCCTGTACTTCTGAACATGGGCCCAATCAGTGAACTGTAAACATCTCACTTAAAGTTCACCCGGCAATCTGAAAACTACTTTTTGCCATAAAACATGCAGATAGCATCATTTTCAGTGTGATAACCTCATTAAAGTAGTTTATATTTTCGCTACTTTTTCCAGTTCATCATCTCTCTCGTAGATTCTAAGGCTCTAGCTGTAGATTCTGAGGCCATGGTAGTTTCTTCTTTTGTCTACTTCCATCATCTGTCACAACTTTCAATCTAAACATAAACAAGATCTAATTAGTCGAACTCAAAATGATGTTCAAAAGTGTAGAGATTCTACTTTTGGAAACGCGTGATAGTCCGATTAGGAAAAAAGAATGTTTTTGGAACAATGTGGCATCGTCAATTATTGTATGTCAGAAATGGTTAGCAAAATGAGTAATCCGTTAATTTCATTCTTCTACTGCATGTCAGTAATGAGAAACGAACTCTTATCTGTTCAGAAGTAAAGTGATAATGTTTCAATAATTTCGTGGATAGCAAGAATGAAAATCCACATACTTTTCATAGATGAGAAACTAGAACTGAGTAATAAAAATACCACGGGTTGATGACAAGACTGTGAAGTATTTATCCCAATTAACGCTACTCTGCAACACTTCTTTCGTGAAATAAGCTGGGAGCCTGTCTGACTTTGGCGCTTTTTCTCTAATTATGTTCTTAAATGTTTCATTATTTTACAGTAAAGGCAAGATTAGGAAAAAATACTTATTTTATATGGATTTATGGTGAATTTTACTGTTTATAATTGACACTACTGTTGTAAAAATGTCTACTTTATATGAATTCTTCTTCATTGTGGTATAAGACTCAGAAAATTATTTTGTAGCTGCTTTTAAACGATTAACTCTAGTCCATTGTTTAGCTAAAAAATGTGAAAAAATGTATATTTTTAGTTATTATCTGTCTTAATTTCTTTATAATACTTAGTATATACGAGAAAAATATTACTTTTGTATCAGAACTTATATTAATTTTACGCTTGTTGAAGGAGATTCAGACACGTTTGACTGATTTTAAGACGATACCTGCATATGACTCTGTTCTACCTTCCATAACTAAAAAATGTCTTATCTGTTGAAAATAATTTCAATATCAAAAAATTCCTCATACTCGTATAACAAAATGTACTAATTTTCAGAGTGGTACAATATCGCAAACAGAAGTTATTATGATATTTGTTTATCCTTAGCACTGCGTCCTTCTCATGGTCACGTCGCATAGTGGCTTAACGCATCTGTCTTGTAATGGACGATTTTCTACGATACAACCTTATTTCTTTCCTTAGAAAATTTCAAAAAATTGTTTTCAACATTTGAAATTGATTTTATCTTCATTTATAATCTACTAGAATTTATAATTATAATTAGGCCTATTCTATTTTTAAAATTATATAGATTTTACTTTTGTATTTGGAGATAATAGAGCTCATTTAGTACGTTATAAAATACTAACGTCGTTATCATCATCATCGTCGTCGTCAACATAAAATTTATTTAATATACTCTCTGATGTATAGATTCCAAGTCAATATTTTTTATATTAAGATTCATAATTGTTCAATTAAATTAGGGATTCAGCCTGAAGGCTTAATTTCGGTTTCGATTTTGCTAAAGGCTATTATTAAAGCATTCTAAATCAAATCTTCTAAAAAGGCGAAGAATAATTTTCTACAAATTTTATGAATTTTCCTATTTTTATTAAGTACAAATTTGAAGATTATTCGAATGTAATTAATTGTATTAATTTAAAATGGACATTAATTAAGAAACTGAACTCACGGTCAAATTCAACTTACAAGGTCCTATATATGTAATAATTGTGGACAAAAATTAAACTAAAACTTCAGCTTGTATATCAAAGATATTTTCTAAAATCTTTCTATCTGTGGATTTAATCTAAAGGCTGGTCCAAAAGTCAGTTAACCGTATTTGTTCAGCTTAATCCGGATGTTTTTGTAAATGTGAAACACAAACTAAATTTAGAGAAATGAGTTTTTCTCTTAAAAATTCATGTAATGTTTACTGCTTACAGGTTCGTAAATAATAGACTTGTTTGAATAAGTCAGTAATTTAGTTAAACTGGGAGGGATAGAACTGTCCGAAATACATATTTAATAAAGTAGAACATCCAAAAAGTTTTGGTGTTCAAGTGAAACATTCTCCAAAAGGTGTAATAAGTCCTCAGACTATTAATAGAAGCTTGGTAACCATTAAATCAGTAATTTAGTTTTTACAATGGTTAACTGATTATTGTGTTATCCTGTATATTTTTATCCAAATTTTGATTTATATTTTGGAATGAATCATATGATTTACACATTAATATATACACTAAATTTACATAACAACAATCATCATGATAACTATGCTCGTGAATAATAGTGTAACAACGGTTCATAGTTGCTAATTTTCAAAAACTTGCTCTGTGTACATGAAAACACTTAGAAATAAAATGGAAAATATATGTGCCTTATTTTTTTTTAAATTAAATAAAAGTTCTTTTAAATTTTATTTATTTTCCTTTAAAATCTATTATTCAAATAACTAGTATTTCCTCGAATAAGAAGGAAACCGATGTGCTCGATCTTGTATGTATATAACTCCGCCATCGTAGCTAAAAAATTCGAAATTCAAACATTACGTCATATGTATTGTGTGATTATAATTTCAAATTTTCTGAGAAATGTCGGAAACTTTAAGCAGTTTATAAGAGTTAAAACATCTCTTATAATTTTCTGATATATGTTCTATATAACCTATATACTATGTTCTACTTCGTAATGAATACGGAACTATTTTCCTTCGTGAACATCGGCTCCATTCTTATTCTGGGAAAGATTATAAAACATCTGTTTTTAATGCTTGAATATCATTATTAATCAGAAATGAACGTAAACTATATTTGTAGATTATATGTAGTGAAATTCATAGTTTATAGTGATTATATAAATTTTATTACATATAATATCGGATGGTTAACAAGTAGAAGTAGAACCAGGAGCAGATCTACATAGGGACTAATAGGGTTTAAGCCTTGGGTCCCTATTGTCAAGGGCCCACAAAAATTGAATTATTATCATAAATTTTTAATACTTTTTCATTAACAATGAGCACTTATTCTAGAGTAAAAAATAGTTAATAGGTTAGGTTAGGTTTGGTAAAAATGGGCCCCATTAGACTTCAATAAGCCCTAGGCCCCGAAAAACCTAGATCCGCCCCAGAGTAGAACTATGAAATTTTAATTATATTTGTGCTAATATAAAATGTTATTAGTAACGTAAACAAGGAGGAGCCCGGGATGCCCTACCTATGTATATAAGCTAAACAAATTTTAAAAAATTCAAGTAAGTACAGTACAAGAAAAAAAATCTAATATGACAAACAAACACATATATAAAATATCTCAGTTTACTCTTCATCCACAACGCTGCGTTTGTACGTTCTAATTCTGGCCCCTCTAATATCGGTCCTAATTACGCTAGTAGGCGTACAAACGGGAAACGAGTGCAAGAAAAATATGCAATATAAGTCCTTGCAATTAGAACGGTAAAGATGCGATTTACCTTATAACAAAGACAATAAGCAATATACAAGTTCTGTAAACAGATATATAGTTTTGCAGGCGTTTAAGCAAACCTGGAGCTTATTATTTTTCATGTTTTATAAAAGCAGTCATAATTTCAGTGATATTAGAGAATTTTTGTAACTAAAATGATACAAGAAGTTATTTTATCCTTATAGTTTGAGTTTAATTTACCAGATAAGATTGCTGCATGATGTGCCAATGGATTATAGAAATATTGATATCTATTGAGTAATCTAGAGCAAAAATATACGGTAGGTTAGCAAACATACCTCTTACTATATATTTTATTTATTTCATTAAACAGAGAAAAATGGTTAAATTTTTATGCTTTCGTCTTTCGGTTTAAATGTATATAACGAGCTATTTGTTTATGCTGTTTACGTTTTCGAACGTCTGTGTACTCTTGTGTAAAGGTCACATACCGAGCGTATGTGACCTTTAACCTAAGGATGGAAAGCTTGTAAACTGATTAAGCAATCGAATCGATTTTTTAGAATTCGGAAACTTTGATAAAAATAATTCAAAATTAAATCGAGAGTTTAAAAAAGGAATTCTATTAAAATCGATATCCTACCTTTTTAAAATATAATCCGTTGAAAAATCGTTAAAAAAAGATGTTTAGTTGCAGTAAAAATGTTAAAAACATTTTTCCGTTTGTTATGAATTGTATAAAAATTATATTATTTAAAATAATAGAAATAGACAATTAATGAGTTAATAATACAAAATATATATTTAAATTTTTTAAGCAAAAATAAAATTATATTTAGCGTAAATTTTACAGAAAAATGTCATTTAAAACTAATATAAGCTTAATATGTACATTAAAAACCGTAAAATTGTATGCCAATGCATGTAAATAACTACAGTATAGTCTTTCCCAGAATAAGAACGGAGCAGATGTTCATTAGTCATACGCGAAGGAAAATAGTTCTGTGTTCAATATGAAGTAGAACGTAATATATATTTATAAAAATTATAAGAAAACTAGAGTATAAGATATTTTGAAAGAGTTATAATAATCTATTAGAAATTTCCAATAGGTTTTCAAATTTGAGATTATAAAAACAAAACAAATAAACTTCACGTGATGTCATATGACGTAATGTCTGAATTTCGAATTCTTCAGCTACGACAGCGGATTGATACGTATTCAAGGTCGAGTACATCGGTTCCATTCTTATTCTGGATTTACTATATAAAATTTTTAAATCATCAGTTTATAAGCAAAAAATATAAATTATTATAAGTATATAAAATGCACAAAAACATATTGTGAGTATAAACTCTAAAATAAACAAGTAAAAATACGAATAATGTACCAAAAAGTAATTCGTTAGACAGAAAAAAAAACATGTCTAAACTATAAAAAATAAACTGAAAAAGGACTTAAATTATGAATTAGCGTTACAAAAAGTTGTTAAATGTAAGGGAAAAATATAAATTACTAATGTAAAAGACGATACAAATTATATGAATGATTCAACAAGACTATAAATTGCATGATGTAGTGTAAATTGCAAAGTACTGACATAAGAAGAATTTAAACTTCAAATTAAAATATAAAATTAAAAAAGAACTGTAAATTGTCCAATATAAAATGATAATTATGAAAGGTAAATACAGTATACAAAAAATATAAACTGTATACCAATGTTAGACTAATCACTGGAGGGCTGCAGGACTTTTTGGCCCAGATCTCATATTTACCTATTAGGCCTTGGCCAATATCATTATAAACTGCAAGGCAAAGAATGTAAATTATAAAAGTATAAATTGTACAAAAAATAGGAACAATAAGATTATAAATTACATAATGTATAAATTACAAAGGATTAGGCCTATATAAAGGGCTTAAATTGTAACCAATGCAATTGAAGTGTACTGTAAATATACAAAATAAAAGCCTCTAAGTTATCCAATATAAACTGGCATATGAATTGAGAGATTTGAATACTGTAAATTATTAAAAAATTACAAACTATATAAATAAATTGTACATTAATATAAAGCCCTACTCAATAGCTAACAGACTCATATAACTCCCGTATAGGGCCTGATGTTGGCATATAGTTTATATATTAGATATTCATCAGACAATTTACACAAGTGGAAATTGATCAGGGCCTCTCTCGACCTCGGTGAGGCCCTGCTGAATATGATTATAAATGTATAATACGGCTTAAAATGTAAATTATTATAATAAGAAGTGTGCAAAAATACAATCCTTTAAGGAATATAAAGTAAACATCATAAATTAATTTCAATAATAATATTAAATATACTCGAAAAGATAAATTATGATCGACAAAAATTAGAATATATTTATTAAATGAATCAGGAGCCAGCATATTCGACTCCTTCCTTCGAAATTCCTGATCGTTTCACGCAAATTAAGGACTGTCGACCGAATAATATGATAAACATAATTAAAGAGATAATTTATTACAGATTAATGGACGATGATAGTGAAATTATGATTATGTTTTATTACAATTTGATACCGAATAAGATATTTAAATGAGCACTCGTTAAAAGTTATAAATTATTAATTTAGTAAATTATTTAAATAAAAATATATACATTTTCTATAAAAACCAAATTTAAATAATGTTAATATTAAAATATCATCGGTATTAATTCATTGAATCGATACAGTAACGAAGGAAGCGTAAATCTGTAAGTTTTAAAGATAAAATAATGCAAATTCTCTTATTTTAAATTTAAATTTTTAATTTTTTTTAATATAAAATGAATGAATAAATAGATAAAATTATTGATTTAATATTTTAGAATTTGCTTATGATAACATATCTTAAAATCAGCGAGGTTTGTCGGATGTAAATTCGTCAAATTCTATTATGATCATTGATGCTGAAGATGAGTTGATGATGCTTTAAGGCTCCTACTTTTCCAGATTGCTTCAGGAGTTCGTCTGTAAAGCATCCTTGTAAAATTATTAAATTTTGCCAATTCCAAACGTAAATAAATCTTTATTTTGTTAAATATTATAAAATTTTTTAATCACTTTTCAAGTGGTGATGATCTTTGTGTAAGTTGTCATTTTGAGTTAATTTTAATTTCTTTGTTTTAATTCTGTTGTTTAAATTATTATTTATACTTAAAATTTATATATTTTAATTTATTAATTAATACTTTTAACTCGTTTTTATTAATATAATTTTATTAAAATATATTTGAGATAAACACGACTTGAATGTTTATCAATGACGATTTATCTTGTCATAATCGATTATTTATATATTTTATTAGAAAATTTTATAAACATTTTTTGAAATATATATTAAAAACACTATTCACAATTTATTTTAATATTTATATTCATCTATTCTTTACATTTTCAACTGAAAATAGGGGGAAGAAACTGATAAAAATAGTCATTTTACAAATAGATCTTGGCATTGTAAATCGATATTTTGAAGAATATTTATGTCGAAAATTCTATTTTTTTCCTCTCTCTCTCTTTTTCAAAAATTCTTCAAAAAATGGTTGACCAAAGCATTTTTTGTATAAAATACTGAAAATTCTAGTGTAAAATGTGGAGATCAAACAAATGGTTAAGAGCAAGAAGCTAATTAAAATCGAATCTTGTAAAATTTATGTAATTATTTCTGAAAATAAATGTTAAAAAATGAATAAATTATAAAATGTTTTAAGCATTAATATAGTCTATAAGCGCATATTTTCATTGATATATTATGTATTGTTCAAGGTTACTACCATAAAAATCTTAAAATGTATCCAATAAATTAATAAAACAATGCGCTCAAAAGAGTATAAAAATATGAATTTCTACAATAAAAATAACAATATTAATTCTTCAATATTGAATTTATAAGAATTTTATGTGGCAATTATCTGATGCATACAATATTTATGCTATAAATAGTATTCTAATATATTAAATCGAATATTAACAGAGCGGAATAAATTGTTCCTTTTCTATAACAAAATTAATATCATTGCCGTTAATAAAGGTTTAACGCTTCTATAAATAAATAAATTTTAAAAATAATTATAATGTTTCTTTTAAAATAAAAATAATAAAGATCTTGTTTTAAAACGTTTAATCCTGCTCTGATGAATAGAACACGCTACTCTATAATTCGTATTTTTAAATGATATATACCTTTTATATTGTTATAATTAATTTTTTAAATAAAATAAAATTTATAATTTGTAATTTTTAATAAAAATATATTTATTTTTACAAATATTACGTTTTTATTTGTCTGTTGCTACGCGTAAATATCTTACTTCAGCATAAAAATGGGGATCTTGAGACATTGTAATGTGTTTTAACGACTAAATAATGTGAAAATTAAGCTCAAAAATTTATTTTGTTTAAGGAAATTATGTTGTTTAATGCTTTTAAATAGAATAAAGCGCTTTAATCGTTTAAGATTTTCTGTATGAATAATTCAACATTTATCCAATAAAACACTGTAAAATATAGCCTAATGTTTAATAATGTAAAGAATAATTTAGTTATTTTTTATTAATTAATGTTTTTCTTGTGTTTAGTTTCAAATATTAATCGTAAATTAACCTATGTGTGAAATTTAGGATTTATAAATTATATAAATATACTAAAACTGTTTCTACTTCAAGTAGGAACCGAACTCACGTCCTTCCATAATAAAATGATAAGAATTCTATTAGGAGTTCTAGTCAGAAGGTTGAATTCTATCAAAATAAAATGTGTCTTTATACAGGGAAGTAGAGATGTATAGGCCAACTGTATAGGAAAGTAGATAAATGTATACTGTATGCAGAAACAGGGAATTAAATTGTACAGCAACGTAGATGAATGTGTAACGTATAGAAAAGTAAGGATATGCTCGTTACAGCTTGTATAAACTGTATAGAAAAATAGGTATATTCTGTATAAAATGATAGATAAATATATCCTATAGAAAGAAATGGAGAAGAGTAGCATTGAGAGTCTCACTAAACGAGAGAACAAGATTCAGTCCCATCAAAATAAGGTTTAGTTTCATTAGAAGACGGATAAAGGTTGAATCTCACTAAAAGAGAAATAAGTTTAAGATATAATAAGATTGGGTCCCATCAGAATAAGGTTAGGTCTCACTAAAAGTCGTGATAAAGTTTAGTCTCATTAGAATAAGGTCGAATCTCTCTAGAAAACAGGACAAAGTTGAGTTTCGCTAGAAGAAAGAGATAAGTGATCAGCATCTCTTACATAACAAGACTCGCTCATTGACTTCATTTGCAGTTAGTAGTCAGACCTTGTTATCTAGAAGATGATGCATACAGATAGCAACTAAACTCACGTTATCAAAAGACGTAGGTTCAATTCCCCTGTGGGACCAAACAGAAATTAGATATTGGTATCTTTCTTTGATTTATATACTAGATTTACATTTTAACTATTATTTGTTTGTTTTATCCTCGTGTTTAACGCTCTTTCTTAGTTGTATATAATGTCTCCCCATATAAAGGAGAAGAAAAAACAGTTTAGAATCTAAAAATAGCTGAAGAAGTATAGAAATACTATTATCAAATCGGGGATATAGTCATAAACTGTAAAGTGAAGCAAACAAAAAGTATTAATATAATATTCATTTCATTTAAATGGAACTACTGACTGTATTAAAATACTTTCAAAATTAGTT